CAGAGGAGTACCTGGAGAATCTCTCGCCCCTGCCGGACGTGGAAGTGGTGCCCTTCACGCCGAAGAAGACCCGGGGTCTGCCCGGACATCGGCCTCGCGAGGCCGTGCCAAAAGAAAAACGCGCCGGAGCTGGGCGCCGGATCTTGGCAAGGGGTAAAACATTGGGTAGAGCTGATATGGAGGATGGACAAAAGTCCCGGACACTTGTATGATGGCACCGGTGCCAAAAGGGTGCATACTTCTTGACCATGCAGTTTGGACATAACTGCACTCGGTCTTCGGCATATGATGGTTTGGCCCGTTCTGCAAGATATTGCAGAACACCAAGACATTTCAAACGTGTGGAGGTTTGTGTCAGCACCACATGTATCATAGCCAGAGGTGAAAATAGCCACCAGGTCATAAACATGTCTTGCTCCCACCCATGCAGACCACGCTGATCCCCTTGGACGACGTGGCGCAGATGCTAGCGGACGGGGAAACGCTGTGGATCTTGTGCCCTAAGGACTATCAACCGCAAAGAAATGCTGACGTCCTCCTAGAGTGCCGGCAGGGTGAGCCTTGGCTGCCGTAGCCCTCGAAGTTCTCTTGAGCTCATTGATCACAAGCGTTCTGAGAGATTCAGACCTTGACGTGTGTGGAATGTGTGCTGGATGCTTCAGCTTGCAGATTCAGGGTTCCGCGCAGCATGCAATTATGAGCGTAATTAGTAACTAAGGACTTTATTCGCCTTGTCCAAGCAGGAAAAGCCCGTCCGGATGGATGTGTGAAATTCTTGGCGCACCCTGCGGGCAAGCCGAACGCACAGAAATGGATCCTCAGTGACGATGTATGCCGGTGGACGGCGCAGGAGCCCTGCATGTCCCATGGCCCCAAATACAAACATGCTCCAAGTTGCTCTAGCTTATTTCGCCCTGGCTTGCGTTCAGTAATTGGCTCTTCTGCCGGGAAAACTCTGTCTCTGTGAGCCGCCAACACCTCGCAGGACACCTTTGAGCCGGACGCATCTTGGCCGGAGTCCTTTCTGACTCTGAGGCAGGCGACGTCGCGTCCAGATGCCCGTCTCAATCCCGACCTTGCGGGCGCTCACCCTTCGACCCGCAATAAACTTCAGCTTATTCAGTCAACAAAGAATGCAGTTGCAGCAGCTGTGCCTTGCAGCCCTTTCCAAATCGGTGAACCGAGGTAGAGCCACTGAGAAGCGGTCTTTGAACATATTTGAACAAGTTTTTTGTCACCTGCCTGGTCATCTGCTCGGCTTGTTTGCCTTTTCAAGGCTGGACATGCATGTGTATCCTCTCAACGCACACGTGAAACCGAAGAGAGCCCAAGCAGCTGCGGGTGGCGCAGGCCTGGGGATGAAGTCCAGGTCTCCAAGCGCCTAGAGGGAGACTGGACGGGCTGGGCCCGGGGAGACTTCGGCAGCAAGAGTGGCACCTCCCCCTGTCCGGGTGTCCGAAGCCCTCCCAAACCCAAGGATATATCAATATCTTCACGCGAAGATAAGCCTTCAAAATCGAGCCGAAACCCCGAAAACCGCGCCCTTGCAGCCGCTGCGTTGTGAAGATTGAGAAGGGCGTAGCCATACTGCAGAGATGTTGAGACCTGCCAGCCCAAATGTACAGACAACAGAGCCTGTAATCTAGCCCGCGTTGCACACCTTTCATTTGTGGATGGGCCTTTTTTTTGTTTTTTGTTTTTTTCCCCGCAAAAGCGGTACCCTCACAGCAATTGACATTAGGGCAAGAATGAGATTGTATGATGGCGCTTACCAAGCTGAAGCCAGGTGTGAGCAAACCCACTACCTTGTGGCGACATTGCCAGCTGCAAGCACCTTATCCTTGCTCAATCCGCCACAAATCGAGTCACACAAATAATAGTCTGTGGGATTCCCGTTCCGTTCACAGCTTGGCTTGAACTTAGCCGAGGAATGCTCGCGTGGGTGGATGTTAGGATGCTTTTCTCAGTCTACGCAGAGCATTGTGTTTCTGCGCACTGAGGAACGAAGAGCGGGTCTGAGGGGCTGGTGCGATTGAAGCATTTGCATGCCAGCATCCAAGTGCACAATTTCGGGGAAAACATGCGGCAGCCTGCGAGCGACGGAAAGCGATGTTGGGCACGCGCCTTCCAGACTGATTCCACGTTTTGCTGGGGCCAAAAGCATATTGAGCGGATTAGCTGGAAGAGCCTTCGCATTCAATGTAGAACTCATGCCCACCTCAATTCCCTCAATTTGGCAGGTCGAAATTGGGAAGTGCAACAATGCTGCAATTGGGAAGTGCAACAATGCTGCAATTCACCCTGCTGATCAAAACATATGTGTAAGGTAGATTCAAAGAGAGAGAGTGAGACCGTTTGATAGAGCGCCCTACTGAAAAAGTTTGAATGATCAACATGTGACCACCAGGAGTGTCTTTCTTTTGGTCCGTTCGATTGAACATATCAGATGACCCTGGTTTCGGTTTGGTTCCGCCAAACCGACATCTAGGGTACAGTACACACTGCCCTCACAGTGAACATGCAGTCATTGCGTGATGAAATGTCAATGTTTCAAATACCAGAGGGTTTCCAAACAGATCCCGCATGTAGCCTTAGAACGTGCCCGCTCACCTCGAACACCGCCGTCAACCGTTTCCATGCTCCTGACCAACGTGCTACCATTCCCGTTGTGAACGCACCGACATGTCCGACGCTTCCCTCAGAATGCAAGGGTTGTTAATGGGTTCCGCCACGTTATTGATGTTGTCGCCATGGTTCACATGTTCACTTCTTTATTTATTTTCCGAGCTTCAGCTGCTGTGAATACGCAAATGGCCGCACAAGTATAAGATCATCTACATGTGACCTTGTTTGAGGGATCCCAGCCTTGGGCGGCCACGCGCAAGCTTTAGAGTGGGCGGCAAGATTGACGCCAAAACACACCGACTGCAAAGTCATACGCGAAAGCTCTAGAGACAGTAAATTACTGCGCAACGATTTTGAACATCACTCAGGTGTCCATTCTTTGGCCGCGGCGAGTACAACGAGAAGTTCTGGACTTGTGCAGACCTTGCCTTAGTCTTAGTCAACTGATTGCTGGGATTCCGGGGTTGGCAACTTGTAAACCCGCCTCGTCGATGCTTCTGAAGGGTGCGTGGCAGCCTCTGAATATGGACGCCACACAACTACACAGCTACTCTGTGACACAGTGCGGTCAGATTTCGTAAGTTTTCGTAATATGTGGCACCAATCAAGGGAAAGTGCATATCACAGCTACACGTGTCACCACTATGGGCAGGCATCAGACGCAGCTAGTATGTGTTCGTTCTAAGACAAGGCTTGAAACGCTTGACTTTTCAGAAAACATCAGCCTGAGAGGGACATTCATAGGCCCGCAAAAGCGCACGCCTCAGGGAAGCATGAACCCCAGTTCTTCAGTGGCATCCTTTGCCCTCTTGTTTGGGTTCCCAACCCCCAAAAGAGAACTGAACAGTTCCTCCGGCAAAGCAGGTTCCGGGGAAACTGTGCTAGGAGACTGCATCAACTTCCATCCCTCGCTGCTGCCACGGCACCGGGGGTCTTTGACCCAGTTCTGGGCCATCTTTGATGCGGATGAGGAGGCCCAGTGGCGAAAGCCCCACCAGGAGTTGGCTGCGGGTCAAACATAGGTACCCAAAATGGAACCATGAAAAATGGAACCAAAAACTAAAACCTGCGGTCCCCTGGTGGGTTTATTTTGACCCGTACCCAGTTGAATGGAACTGATCCCGGTTTAACAGATTGAGGGCCAGGAACCTGTGCAACCCTATTTGATGTGCGGCAAATGTCGAGCCATGAAGAACGGCCTTGGAGAAAGCAAGTTCCCAAGACACGCAATGATGGGACCCGTGGAAGCTTGAACCAGAGCCAATTGATTGGACCTTTCGCCTACCAATAGAAACTCCAAAAGGAATCATGTTGGTTGGTTTCCTTTGATAAAAGGGGCATAGTTTAGCAGTTCCGGCGGATCATCGCGAGGCCGGGACAACTTGCCACCGCATGGTTGAAGAGTTCGATGCAGGGCGCATTCTCCGGCAAGAGCCGGTGAAGCTTGCCCCAGACGCCTGGCTTGCCCTTCAGAAGGAAGCCGCCATCAAACCAAGGCTCCCAAGCACACACTATCCAAGATTGGCCCCTCACCCTCACGAGCGTTACCCCGTGGGCATTGAATACTGTGAGGTCTGCCGTGGAAAATCCCAAGTTTGGAGTAACCCTGTGTCACACGTCCGTGGTGTCGCAGTGCTGGATGTTGCAAGAAGAAAAGGAAGTGCTTTGGCAATCCAGACGCGCAATCACTTCCCGGTTTTTGCAAAAGTTTGAAGTGTTGGAGACTTCTTTAGAGAACAGTCTTTGTTTTGTGTGTTGTCATGTGTTTCCAATTTGGGGTTTTCCGGGCGGATTGCAAGGCAAAGTTATGCAGCATGGCGCATCTTCAGGCTAAAAACGTATCCCGCGCCTGCACTGTGCCCATGTTTGAAGACTGAGGATGAAACGGCTCTTTCCTTGAACCACAAGCTCGCCTTGGCCACAGAGCGCTGCTTCAAGCACGTTCTGGAGGTCTTCCTCGCTGAAGGACGGCCAGACAAAGCAATCTGGTCATTTGGGCTGCTGGGAGCTTGGAGTCTTCATCCTTCGACATGCTTGGCACGGCAAGAAAATCACTCGGCATCCAAGAGTTGGGCTGGGCCACTTTCTTTGGGTGCCATCAAGGCGTCCAACCAAAGACCATCAAAACAAGGTGAGCCTCAAAATGTGGCCCTCTTCCACTGGTGGTTTTTCGCTTTGGCTTTAAAAACCACTCCCAAGCAGGCACCCGCGGTTTGAGCTTGAAGTGAAGCCAAAGCCGTTGTGGCCTGTGTCAGGACTCCCCGAGGGTGAGGAATGGGATGTGGTGTCTGTGCTTTGATTAATGCGAACCGGAGGTGCGGCTGTTTCCCCAGTTCAGCGGCGCCCGTTTCCGGAGCCGTCACCTCTGCAAAGGGTTGCTTTGCTTGCCAGGGTCGCTGGGCAGTTGGGGGGGTTGCATCATTTTCGGGTAGAGGGGAGGCTAGCTGCAGTCAGACGTTGTACCATTTGCCGTATTCGCAGAAATGGTGTCTGAACGACCAAATCCATTCGCCCAAAGGCAGCCTCAATTCGTTGAGGCATGTTTGCCATGTTCCAAACGGCTTGGACCTCGGCAAGGCTCCGAATGAGGTTACACGGTGTTTCGCACTTTCCGGCCGAGGCGCAGTTCCCGTACCACTTCCGGCGCCTTCCGGAGGAGGGCTTCATTGACTTCAGCTGGCCCCTGGACAAGGTGCGAAGAGGTACTTTCTTTCTTTCCACACTGACAAATGAGCAACCCTACCTTTTGGTTTGGCGTGTTTGCCTCCAAACATGTCCAACCATGGCATCCCAAGAAAGGGCAACCAGGGGAATGGCATGGCAGCTGGATGTCTTTCTTTGACTTCGGCTAGGTGACCTGGCTCGTGTGTTTTTGAGTTGGTTTGTTTATCTGGTCAGGAAACAAGTTGTGTGGCACCGGGTACCATACTGACATCACTGGCTCGGCCTTGGCTGCGCGAGTCTCGTGTGCCGAAAAGTACTTGTGGCAAGCTGATAATTTCCGGGCTTGTCGCCAACTGATTCAATTGGGTGAGTGTGTGCTTGTTTTTGTTTTTGAGAGAACCTTTTCGAGATTGGTTTAAAGGGAAACCAAAGGGAACCCACCATTTTGGGGTCGGCATATTTTGACACATACATACCAAATGTTATGCTCATCTTTTTTCATGGTTTTCTTTGAATGCAGGTGGACCGCTTCATCCGCGCGATGTACTTCCCGCCTTTCACGCCAGCACGGCTGCGCATGGAAGACGGGTCAGAGCACAGAGTGCCTGAGACGCAGGGGCGTACCTTTGTTGAGGGTTGTTGAGATTGGTTTGAAAGCAACGAGAAAGCAAGCATCCGGTTTGCGCCCTCCCCCCAGTTTGCATGTCTTCCTGGCGTCAAACTCTCACCAGGCCCCTAAGCAAATCAAAACATTGCCATGAACCCTTTGCATTGAGTAGAGTGAGTGACCTGCCATGCAGTGCTGTGCTGATTGTACCCACAACCGATCAGTATGCACATTATCCTGTGCTTGGGAAACTTGGCGCGAGCAAGGAGTGTGACGCGCTGAGGTGCTGAACCTGTCTCAGTACCAGGCCCTCATCAAAGGCAAGGCGCCTGCCAAGCTCTTCTGGGACGAAGACCAAACCCCAGTGAAGGCCCTGGGGTGGTGGGGGCTTGCATGGCGCGGGTGGAGGCAAGGTCAGGGGCTGGCTAGGCAGGTTCTTTTGTTCGGAGCACCTTTCATATTTGACTTGTCACTTAGAGATGGTGTGTTAGTGCGAACTGCTTGATGCGTCCTGGGCCCACGCTTCTGTACTGCCAGGATGGAAACGACCAACAACCCCCTGCGATGCCATACACCTTGAGAAAAGAACCACGATGATTGTGCCTTTCTTTGCACAACTTCAACCTGCAGTTCTACAAACTAAAGCAACTACAGGTTTCACCGTTTCACCCCGCAACAAAAGCAAGAAAACGACTGAAACGCCTCGGTTGGACTGGACTCGGCCCTTGCCGGCTCCGCGCTCGTGCCGGTTCGAGGCACGCGCCATTCGCGCAGACCCAAAGCCCGAGACGACGAGCGCCACCCCATGGATGGCCTGGACCTGGCGCGGAGAGTCGTTTTTTTTGGGCTAGGGTACTATGCTTTGGAGCTGGTTTTAAATGGAACCAAACAAAAACCACCCCTTTTAAGGGTATTTCCTATTTTGACACATATGCCATCTTCATGGAAGTTGATTCGTTGACCCCGGATTCGGTTGCAATGGGATGTCTGGCGACTTCACGGGATTTGGCCACGCCATTCTCCAGCCGTTCAGGCCATCCTCCCTGCTTCAACGGCTGTCCATTCTTCCCGCAGCGCAAGGACCCAAAATGAGGTTTCGCACATCCCACCTTTTGTTTTGGCAATCAGTCATCCCTCCGTTGACAGGAATTCCAGGTCGGCCAGTGGAAGTTGCGGGGGATTTGCACAGTTGTTACTTCCCTGAGCAAACGCAATGGGGTCTCCCAGTTTGTGGCTTCAGCAGTTGGCTTTTCGGGAAATTCCCTGCCACTTCATGGGATTCCCCGATGAAGGTGGCCCGCCGCGCTTGCCGGGCTTCTGCTTTCCTGGGTGGCTGTGGCCGTGACAGGCTGGTGGAGGGGTGCTGGGAACAATATGTTGGCTTGGAAAAAGGAACCCCATGAAGTCTTTTTTTGGCTGGTCACTGCCTAGACGATTTTGGGCAGGGTTCCGAGCTATGGCCGAATTACATTTGCTTTTGTTTCTTCCACCAAAACAATTTGAAGCCCAGACTCAAGCAGACGAGCATGCTGAAGCCTCATCCTTTCGCTCTGTCGAGGCCCGAGCAATCCATCGCTGGCTCCACGGCAGAGCGTGCCCGGCACGCAATGCATCGATGGGTCTCCGGCACCGCGGCCCTGAATAGCGATAAGGAGACCCAGAAGAGCCAAACTGGCTTCCCTCCATGGCGTGTCTATTCCGCTGTACCAGTCAAGGATCAAGGTAAATACGGTAAATACTCTCCACCAAAAGGAGCTTGTTTGAATTGATATTGGGTGAAAAGGGCTGCACTTTTTGTTTTTCCAGCCCAGCCCAGGCAAATCTTTATTTGGCTCACGGCTATGGAGACGGCCGGCGCAAGTGGGTCGTGTTCTTTCAGGCGAGGGCCGGGAATATTGCTTAGGACGGTCATGTTGCAAATTGTGCATCTCATGTTTCGCAATGTCTCCAACTTGCTGAGTTCAAGCCTTCAGAGCGTTGGTTCCAGGTTGTCTTCAGGCTGTGACAGATTTGGAAAGGTGCCCGTCGTTGAACTGTCACACTTGCCCCACGCGTCCCGCGTCCCGCACAGGCGTCCCGCACACGCGTCCCGCACAGGCGTCCCGCACACGCATCCCGCACACACGTCCCGCACGCTTCGCAGGGCGGTGGCTGGTGCACTGGCACCTCAGGCTCCCCACACTTGCCGGGCTACTGCCCGCAGGAGGAGCGAGGTTCCCACCGGAGGGTTTCTCGTGATGCACAGGGGACCAATTCCGCTTTGGACTAATTGGTTGGGAATCCTGCACAGACATGGGTGCAACTCAGTGTTTAGCAAAGGTATCCACAATAAAAAGCCAAGCCCGAGCCCTGCGGCCCAGGTTGTGTATTCGAGCCCAAGTTGCCTAAGCAGGTTCACGGCTTCGCAGGTTGCCATAGAAGAATATTCTTTGCAGCCTCGTGGACATTTGCTCCAGGATGTGGCACACCCGGATTTGTGCGAAGAGCGCAGCCGAGGCGGGGGCGGTCAGACTAGAGTGCGCAAGTGCAGCCACGGGGGTCCCTTGGCTTGTTTGAAGGGCGAGATTTCTCTTGGGAGAGGAATTCCCTAAGCTTGGAAGATGTGTCCTTGCCTCAAAATGGCGAAGCCCTCCGATGATTTGTTTGCAGGCAATTGGAATCATGAATAAAGCTGTAGGCTAGTGGGAGATACCCAACCAGAAACAGAAGCCCAGCACGTTCCCCATACAATGCTGTAAGTACGCTCCCCGACATTTAACAGATATTCCTTGGGGGTGCCATGGGACCAATGCAATGTAGAAGGTTCCAGGAGCGTTCCGAGGATTGCCAAAGCGCGATGTGTCACACAGGGAGTTGAAATACAATTGTTCAAGGCATGGGTGGCACAGTTGATATCACATTTGCAATTAAACTGAAATTGCGGCTTAAAATGCATTCTACAATTGAATCTGCAATCGTTTGGACCCCCCCTGCATCATAGTACATTTGCTGCACGAGCCTAGGATAATATATATATATATATATGTATATATATATATGATTCATATAGAATGCATGTTAGTGCACCTGCGAGCGAATTGGTATAAAGCATATTTGGGCGTGGGTGCCTTTTTTTCTTCACGATTTGTTTGCAACACACGCGTGGTTTAGACCCCTGCAGGCTACCATGGGAGCAGCCTCAGCGATTCTGAAAGTCGCGACTTCACGCGGAGAGGACGCAGACAAGTGCGTCAGAACAGAAGTCCATGAGGTTAGAGCTCAGGATGAAACGGATGACTTCAGCAATTGCCATCGCAGGTTATGGTGTGGGTGTGTCTCCCATTAGGCAACTCAATGCTCGTGCAATGGGAGCCAGAAGAAGTTCGATGGATGAGTCCGCAATCTGGAAAAAGAAACAAAACTTAACCAACCAGAGCCTGGTTGACCCTGACATCATGCAGCTACCCTGCGAAAGCTGTTCACTGTAAAGGTTGAAGAAAGGAGAAACCAGCGAACTCCAATATAAAAGAGGGATGCCGATGATTCAAGGGGCACTGTTGGCAGCTTGAGTCGATCACCTTGCAAGTGAGGCCGACTGGAAAGGTCGGTTTTGGTTTTGCAGCCAGATAGCTTAGGTGTTTTTGTTTGGGACGTTTCTGTGTGTGTGTGCGCTACACCAAGTTGGCCCTGGTCTCCTGATGCTGCTTAGTAAGACGACTTCATCCGGCGTAGAAGACTTGCCCACCTGCTTTAGCTGTGCGAGGATGCTTGTCTGGCGATTCTGACATCAATCCGATGATGTACAACTGGCGCCTCGGCCGAAGTGGAAGTTGTGCAGTGTGGTCATATGTGTGTGTGTGTGTGCGCGCGTGTGGGCACGCTTGCAGTGGTGTGTTGATCGGTCACCTTGCTTTGCGGCTTTGCGGTTAGTTGCCACGTATGTGAAACACTGGCCTCGCCAATCAGGAATCGCGTCATGGTGAGAAACTGCGACGGCCCAGAGCTCAGAGCAAGAGCTATAAAGTGCATAGATCAAAGAACCCTCGCAGTTCAAGGCTAGTGCGAGATTTCCTAAATGATTCGTATTCTGACACCCCTGTTTGATTCCGGGATCAGCTTGTCAATCAGTCGTAGCAGCATGCACCGTTTGAGCCGTGGGTCTTCGTCGCAAGGTCTTCAAACAAATCACCAGCATAGACCCAAGATAGCAATGATTGCACACCGGACCCTCCAACAGCACCCCCCCGAAGAGCGCCCCAAACAGCACCCGGCCGTCAATCGAGCACGCATGCGCCCGCGCGGTCACCAGCACCTCCAACAGCACCCCAAACAGCATCCCAAAACCGCACCTGCACCAGCACCCCAAACTGCATGCTCCCCTGCACCCTTCTGTCAATCTCGCACCACCGTCACTCTGAAGAGCACCCCAAACGGCATCCCCCCAAGCACTCAGTCGTCAATCTCGCGAAAATCACCTCAAACAGCACCCCACTCAGCACACCCAATCTCGCAAATCACTTTCCCCTCTTTATTAGAATTTAAATCCTTATAGCTTTCAGCGATTTGAGGAACAAATTGATACATCTCGCAGCAGAGCACAATCCAATTGCAAGTGTAGTGTTTCAACTTAGTGAGTTGCATGTTGTATTTGCTCGTGCTGCTTCGCAGTGTGGTACAGTCTGCTTCTTTGGGATGAATGTGTTACGGAAGTGTCGTTTTCTTGTTGCGCAAGTCCAACACCGTTCGCAATCGTCACATGCGCTTGTGTGACCCTACATGATCAGTAATGTCGACATGGAACTGCGTGTTTTGCCAAGTCCTGCTAATATGTGAATATGTGGTTGCCGATGCACGTCTTCTTCATTGTGTCGTTTTGCATCGTACCACGCTTGTTGGCTTGTATGTTATACTTATACGCAGCACACACACATGTGATTGAATGTATAATATGCAGTATATATAATATATACATATGTGGCACCCCCTCCCAAGAAAAAAACAAGAACACCTGATTGCAGAGCTCACTGGTATTTCCGGTGGAATTCAGCTTTTTTGGGGGTCTGAATAAAGACGTAACAAAAGGCAGTTGCAAGGGCAGTTACTCTGGATGTTTCACGCTCTGGCAAACCCTCAAGAAACCGAAAGAAAAAGTCGGAAAACCAAACTCTCTGAGGGCAATGTAGCTGGACACCGAAGAAACCGAGAAAAATGAATAATCGAAAAACCAGACATTCTCCTACAGTATGATTTTTTTCGGCTTGTTCGTTTTTTGTTGCCTCTTTTTTTGTTCCGGTGTTTTCATGTTTTGGTTCTCCCCCGCTTTTTTCTCCCTCATTTTTTTTTGTTTGGTTTTGCTGCTTGTCTGATCTAGCAAAGCCACATTTGCCAAGTAGCTTTTTTTTCTGTCTCAAGCTCAATATGTCTGATTACCTGTTTGTTTCATTCTACTAATTTGTTCACTGGTTTAGAATTGGAATAATCAAGGCTTAGAAACAAGGGAAATCCTGCAGTGGATCTAGGATTACATGATACATATTATGTTGTAGCACATGTTTATAGTGTTCTTTCTTTAGGAGCTAAAATTGCTATCTTCTCTAGAATAATTTTCAATGGAGAACATATTGTTGGTACTAAGAGTTGATTACTTTCATCCTGATGTACACACTCTCTCTCTCTCTCTCTCTCTCTCTTTCTCTGTCTCTTTATCATTGCAATTTAATATTCATGGGTATTATTGTTGCCTTTTCTCCACTGCATCTTTTAGGATTTAATGTCATGCCAAGAAGAATCCCATCCTTTACAGATTCGGTTCATTCCCCAACAGATCAAAAAGGTTGGTTTTGGGAGGGGGAGTAGCACATATATATATATATAAAGGTACCAGTCCCCCCCCCCCCAATGGTATGGTCCCCCACTCAGCCGCATCATCTGCATCTTGGGGATGATGCTGGCAATGCTGGGGATGCTGTCCAGTACCGCGTTCCCAGACTCCTCCTTTAACACCCCAGCATCCCACCCTAAACCAAACCACCCTGCAACCCCTCCTTAACCCCAACCCTACAAAATATTCGTATCGCATTTATGCCATGGAATGGGTATAACTTTGAGGATTCAATTCTAAGCCTAAATCAAACCAAACCCCAAACCCACCCGAAACCCACCGCAAACCGACCTGAACCAACCCTAAACCAACCCACCAAGCCTAAACCCCGAACCACACCCCAACCACCCAACCACCCAACCACCCAACCACCCAACCACCCAACCACCCAACCACCCAACCACCCAACCACCCAACCACCCAACCACCCAACCACCCAACCACCCCACCACCCCACCCCACCCCACCCCAGGGGGGGGGTTCACGGCCTGGAACATATATATATATATATATATGTACACATGTATATTATGCATGTATACATATGTATATGAGTTAAAGACTTTAGTTACAGAAGACTACTTACTGTAAAAGGCCAGGCGGACACATGTTTGTGGCTGACAAAATTAGGTCCAACACGACGCAGGAACACCCCCAACACCAGGTAGGTCCATGACATACAGGTGACTGAGATCACAAACGCATGTGGCGTTAGGAGGTCAATGAGCCCAACCGGCAGAGTTGGAGAACTAGGTGGCAACACCTGACCAGTCGATCATGTACCAAATACCTGCCGTAGCTCATGATATACATAGGTATATAAAAAAAAATATATACTTGTGTATATGTGTATACTCTATCTGTAGTTATGTAGTATACAGGTTTCACCCAGCTACACCATGAATAGCACCCTGTCGGGTTTTCTTTCCCGCACTCAGAGCCTACGGAGTCCAGCGGAGCCTCCCGGACAGGCACGCTCTTCCTCAGCAGCGCCGAGCTGCCGGGGCTGCATCTGCGAGGCGCTGGGGTTGCCATCCTTTCCTTTTTCCTGTCTCCAGGTATTCCTCGGAGGTTTTATTGGGGTCCTTGGGGTCCCTGGATTTCCTGGGATATGGAAAATGAAGGGCTCTTGCCTCTTCTTTCCCAGGGACGGGGGGGTGTTAAGATGAAGGTTCTTCGAGGGGATGGTATGCTGAACCAGCTGGCGGCATCGTTTATGACGGGCGTGCTTGGGCTGTTTGCGGGACTGGCTTGCTTCCAGCCAGGGTCTGACTCGTTTCCGTGGCTTCTACGCCTGGCAAGGATGAGTGGTTGCCTGGTAGAGTACCGCACAGTCCAAAATTCCTTTTCAAAACAACCAGGCCCTAAATCAGTCCCGACAAGTGGCAGGACAGCGACCAAACCAATCCTAAGTTCCGTTCATCCAGCCTCAACCCCACTTCCAGCCTGAAAACAAGCGCCATTATCATGCCATAGCCAGCTCTGGGCAACATGCCCAGAAACCAGCCCGCAACCCACACGAGCCGCAATCAAAACCCGGGTAGATGAAGGCTAGTAAGGGACAATCCCAACAATAAATAGCTGCAGCCGACTTCTTGATTCTTTACATGGTTCTGGGTCGACCGTTTTAACACCGGGTTTTGATTATCACTCACATTGATTGAACTAGTCCGCTGCCTCTGAGTGGCCCTCCTTTCCAGCGATCCATGCCCCACAGCAAAATGACAGGAAAAGAGTGCCTAGGCGAAACGCGCTTGGCCTTCCAATTCGGCAGTCGTTGTCTCAACAGAGTTGTCCTTGGCAAACATCAACGTGAAACAACAACTTCTGTCAGCGTTTGCGAATCTGAATGCAAGGATTACTCAGGCAGATAATGAGCGGACCATGCGAAGAACCATGGCGCATGGTTGGATGGTAGAGGCACCAGTGCCTGAAACACCTCGAAACCCGGCTTGTTTGATAGCGGGGCAAGGACGCCTTCTTTATTTAAGGGGGCTTGGATTTCAGCATTGACTTGCTTGCCGCGTCGCTGGCGTCTCTTCTTTCAAGGCTATCAATATAGAGCCCCTTTTTGCAGAACAGTCCGCCCATCACAGGGGCAACAGCAAGCATCCAGGCCTATCCCAAGTCTCATTGGCCAAAAGGCCAGCGCCGTGTACGTGCAGGCAGGGACAATGCGGTGCAGGCCATCAGGGCCTTGCTGGGCCAGGGCCTTGCGGACGCCAGCGAGCTGAGCCTTGGGCCGGTGAAGGGGTGAAGGGGGAGGGACGGCGTACACCTTTTCCGTGCCTGGCAATAATATGTCGATCCCAACAGCAAGGCAGTTCATACTCCTCCTCGTTTTCCGAAGGGGGGGGGAGGACCATTTTTTAGCCGGGTGCCACTCACGAGTACCAGCAAAGATGAGGCATGGAGCTACATGCGATGTGGATGAATCATTCAATTGGGAACCCAGCTGATTCTACCATGGCGACAGAAGGAGCCTCAGTCCGGCCAGCTAACCAACAAGTTAAGGGTAAAAGTGTTGGCCCCGGATCGATCAACTCGGCAGATCTACGAAGAGCTTTGTAAAACAGGGCACCCCGCGTGTTCATAGAGGTTGCTCATTGACCACACCAGGTCAATCCAACTGCACGGATTCATATGCTGGAAGACATCAATCCCTGCCTGTCATGTCTGGCCTATGAGTGATCACACGTAGTGGAGCTTTCAGACCTTGATGATCCCGAGAAGTCAAACAAATCTTGCAGGTTTTTGTGTGGCCTCTGGCAAATTGGAACCTCAGCTTCAGTGGATGATTTACTCGCCAAGTCTATGCATGTCATTGAATGGAAGACCTGGCTATGGATGATAAGCGCCTAAGCAACAGGCCGAGGGCCTCAGAAAGTCCAATCGGGTCCTTCAGACCCTTTGAAGGGATTCCAAACAGAGGGTCCTTGGCAATCACACTGTGGATGGACAGAATCCTTCACCAGTTGCAATCCATGTGGGCAATATATTACCATCATGAGAGCCATTTGGGTAAATGACAGTAACATATTGCATACATGGAGTTTTTGGATACGTTCCTACTGTGGATGGACAAGATCCTACACCAGTTGGATTGGATGACACCCTATGAATAATGGGATTAACCCCCCCAACCTACATGCAACTGTGGGATCGGACCGTCGATCAGAACGAAAAACCGAGGCTCTTTGCAGGCTGCTCGGCCGGGGGCGTGGCCTCAGTGCTTTTGGCAGACACCTTGCGGCCGATGGTGGAAGAGGCGGTTCACGCCCGCGGAGGCCGCTCAGCGCTGAAGCTGGATGGGGGCAGTGGCAATGTGCAGAGATGGTTGTCAACCTTTTCTTGGGGCAATCCTTGTACCGGGACAGGGGTTGTTACGAAGATGGATTTGTGTCAAGGGCGAAGACACGTGAATGATTGTCATGTTGGTTTGAGGAACGGGTTTAAAACCAGTTGAAAGTGGATTAGTCCTGAGGGTCATGTACCAAGTGTCTTTGGCCACCCAGAAATCAGTCAGCAAAGAACAATATGTGTGAAAAAAAGCGGTCCAATGTCACCACCGGTGTCGCGGACACGGAGCTTTCCTGAAAACCGAAATTGCGAGGGAAGAAAATTAGAGGCAACTATGCGGCCACCGAGGCCGCGTCTTTGTGGCGGTTCTGTCGGACAGCGGGTTCTTCCCCGACTGGTCCGCCAAGTCAATACCCGCAGGCCGGGTGTGGTGGCCATGTTCGGCGCTGGAGTCCATTGTTTGGTTCATGGCAGGCCACAGATATGCGAACCTCTTTAAACAAAAATCGTCTCTGACATTTCCTTGAACGTTACAGATGAGGGAGACCGCAGATGTTGAGACCTCTTATTTTGTTGCAGTTGATTCAATTTCAGAAGGACTCTGACACGTTGAGTTTCACAAAGTCTGCCGTTGTGCTGGGCTGTCAAAGGTACACACCCATGCCAGCCTGCCAGGGGTTTTGCACTTCCCGCAGTTCCAGTGGCTATTCGCCACTGGGAACGTCTCAGCGGCATTGCCCCCGGAGTGCTTGGCGGCAGGCCTGGGCTTGGCGATAGGGCTGGCTGGTGGCAATGTGTGTGTGTGTGTGTGCTCGTGAGAATGCAGATGCGCGTGTGCAGGCGTGTGTGCGTGCGCGCGTCGGCGGCTGGGTGGTAGAGAGGGAGTGTCGTAAACTTTTAGTTTTGCAGCTCCGTTTCGGCCACAGAAATTTGAGATCGAGTTCCAATGTTTACGTTGGTCTCCGTGGCCCCAACCGCAGTACTTTCCAGCCCTCTTGCCAATCCCAGATATGGATTCCTAGTTGCATCAAGTTAAAACATCAATGGAGGACCCCCTTTAGTAGGTTTACCCAACTGTTTCTCTTGAAAACCCTCCAAAAAGAGAGAGTCCTAGGACAGACATGGCCATTCAGGCCACGGCTGGCGCTGCATGTTGCTGGAGACAGCGCTGCCCTATGTGAAGACCCCGCGCCTTCGACGTGGGTTTGGGTAAACAGAAGCGGCTCAAGATGGTAGGCTCATGTATGAGGTTCATGCCATAGCCCTTTATGTTGAAGCTCTCTCTCTCTCTCTCTCTCTTTCGCTGTCTGAGCTCTCCCTTTCTCTCATGAAGATTAGCTCTCTTTGGCCGCTGGATTTCAACCCCTGCCTCCGGTCGGTCCTCACAAGGTGCTTCGTGCTGCAAAGCACTGTGGACTCCTGGCAACTTCAGAGCTCTGATCAGAAGTCGCTGGAGTGCCGTGGGCAGCAGTTGTCGCTCTGTGGCCGAAATCTGGGCTGTTCCAAGGCAACCCCCATGCTAATGCTGTACCTTCAAAGCAGACGAAGGCTAGAAGAGTTCAGCAACTTCAAGCCGTGTTTTTTAGGAGGAGTCCTGGATGTGCAATGTGTTGCTCGCGCCTGGGTGTATTGTCCGTCCTCAAGCGGGGGTTGCTGTGCAAGCTTTGATGACATGCGGTTGCCATTGCTGAACAGCACTCAATGCAGCACTAGCAAAGGGCGCATGAGATGGGATCAACAGCATGCTAAGTCGGGCTCTCAAGAGCAATCTCATATTCTTGTGCCTTGCCATCGGGGGATTCGATATGAGGTAGGTCATGCTTAGTCCACATGTCCAAGGGATAATCACCGTTGCAGAGCAGCCGGGCTTTTTTCCTGAGGTCACTTCACCAGCACATGCGCGCAAACTTGTTGGCGGCCGTGCAGTCACCGCATGGAGGTGCCTTGGACAACTGCTTCCACCATTGCGAGGCTGGGGTCATAGCTTTGGGCTTTGAGTCGTTTGGGAAACATGAGATGCTGCAGAGCCTGGGCTCCAGCAAAGCTTGAGACAGTCTCAAGCCTGGGCACGATGGAAAACTTGACCACGGAGCGGTTACCTTGGTTACCCGATTGTTTTGTTTGATGATGTTTGATGAAAGCCCCCCCCTCCACTCTCCACTGGTAGAAACTAGTGATGTGAGGTTGCTGTGCATACCTCGAGTTACCATTGAAGCAGCCCTGCAAAGGCACCCGGGGAAGGCATTCCAACAAGTCTCCCAAGTACCTGATTGCTTGGGGTTCATAGGGATGGTGCTTGTCAAGCATTTGGACTGCATGTGCGAAGAACAAATGCACAGTCAAGGGGAATTGTTCATTGCCTCTTGCATAGGCGTTTCCGTAGAAGGAATTTGGGCATGAACGGGTTTAGAGCGTTTCTACGCACAATTATCAGTGTGGTTTCTTGCAGAATCCACCAGACAGGGTGCAGGTTTCTCTTTACACAAAACACACACATGCATGCGTGCGTGCATGCACGCACGACAAAACACTGCAAGCAAACACAACTCAAAACAAAGCAATACAAATTTGCAGGCATACGTCAAGTACTCACGCATGCATACACGGACGCATGTGGATGCAGCATGTGACAATGTGGACGCATATAAACACACTCATGCCGACACAGACATAGACACGCAACAATCAGACAATCAACCAAACACTCACATCGCTGCCCCCTTCACTAGGCCTGGGGCAACATCCATTGGGGCGGTCTCAGCAACCGCGAAGCCTTCGAGCGCTGGTATCGAGCGCGTGTGCGGCAGTGGGATGCTGGTGAGGCAGACCATCCCGCTGCACAAAGTTGTTGGGAGCTGTTTGCAAGATGGGGGAGTGGGTTGTTTCAGTCCAGCTGGGCAAGTTGAGGATTTGTCGGATGACCAAACTTGGGGTCAAGCACTGCCATTGAGCAAGGGCGTTTAGTCCAGGCTTTTCATTTGACGGAGCAGCTCGAAGCGACAAAATTCAATAGAGGAATTGGCATGGTGATGCCCTCAGGCAGAAATTCAGAAGTTATCTGGAATGAGCTTGATGAAAGTGTTCGGAACGTTTACAGATGTGCATGGAGGATGCTGATGTTGAGTTGAGTTTGGGAAACAAGTGTGTTGTAAGAAGGGCACTGAGCCGCTGGTGCAAGGGAGAACATTGAAAGGATGGTGGCTAGTCCAATCTTTGCAGGTTTTTGATCAACTGCGCCAGGAAGGAATGGGATTCGTGGGGCACGCTTCCCAGGTCTTGTCCCTTGCTTCCCTCAAGTTGGGGCTGAGACCCGATTTTCGTAGCTTATCACACTGGGCTCCGTATCATGGCAAACCGCTGCCTGCAACTTGGGGCCCTGGCAGGACTTCAACACCACGGGGGAGGGCTGGCCATTGCTGCATCTGGGAGCGCTTGCTGCACCGCGGTGCTACCCAGGAGCGTGTCACCATTCTCGGTGCCCTTATGGTTTATGGGCAAGTTATGAATTGTTTGCTCTCTTTCAGCCTCTTTCAGCCGCTGAAGTTGAGATCCACTTTGGGTGTACCGGCTGGAAATTCGCGGCGCCAGGACAAGAGAAGCACAAAGACTGGCATGCCACCTTGGGGTCTCGCCGGCTCAGCGACTTAGATGCCGCCGCGCGCTGGAAAATGAATGTTTGGTGACATGCTTTGCTTTGTGATTCGTCGTACTCTCCAGCCCCTCTTGCTCCTTTTGTCCCCTTGTGGTTGCCAAGAGGGACGCCTTTCCTCCTCTGAGGTTGGAGTGGGGTGATGATCGATGTGGGTGATTGTCAACATCATGGAAGCCTTTCTGGAACGGCCGTTTTTGGCTCCAGCGGTTTTCACGCCCCAACCCCCAGCACTCCTCCGTCTTCCGACAGCCGAGCGCCTCAGGCAGCAAAATCCAACAAAACCTCAGGGCATTTGCGTGAAGGGCCCATGCAAAACTGAAGGTGCCAGCATCCCTTGGTATTTGGCGGTCATTTTCGGGATGGAGAAGACTCAGCTGTATGGTCGTTCCAGCAGTCAAGGGAAAAGTATGCCCACATGCTTCTCAGACTTCAGATGGCCCTAGTACCAGTGCATCGTGTGTGTGTGTGTGTGTGTGCTGAGCCAATGCATGATTCATGTGTTGCCTCATGCCAGGTGCCCTTGTTGGATTTGTGGGGGGGTTCCAATTCCAGTGGTTGAAGTATGAAAAGGTTGCTTGTCATTGATTCTCTGCACCGCACTGAGGCAATGAGGACTCTGCTGACCGAGGAGCCTTGGGCCTATCCACTTGACAAGACATGGCAAATATTGCTGTTGGTGGCCAAAGACGGCCCTAGCAAGGCAACCAGTTGACTTCGATCAAGCGGCAAGCGTTTCGCCTCTTTCGCAACGAATGCTCATACTCAAGCCGCTCCAAGTTGCAATCTTGCAGGAGACCCTCAAGGTGCCTAAGGGAGACTCGGCTGCAGCTGCTTGCGTGTCAGGGTTTGGCAAGGCACGCAGCATACTTGGGATGGGCACAGATCTTTTTAACCTGATCTATTGGCAAGGGCGACAACCGTTTTGTTGAATTCAAGGATTTGGGATCTGCCTCAAGCTGGTCCTGTCATGGTCCTCAGAAGTTTTGTGTTTAGAACTGGAAGACTTTGATCAGAATTGTGCTTGCTCTGCAGGCTCTTAAGCGCAGTGAGGTGCAGACTCTTAAAAGGAATCTAAGAAGGGAAGATCCTACTCATTTCTTTCACCCGCCTTCGATGGACATGGATTTCCGAAGGGGCGCTAAATTGCGGAGCTGAGTGTCAAAGAGTTGTGCGGTGCACATCATGTTTGGGGCTGCAATCTAACCTAATTTGACTGGTTTGCTAGTGAAACATGTCATCCACCTGCTGTGTTCTCAGGCGTCAAGATCACCATCAAGTCCAAGCAGGTGGAGGCCTGGTGAAGTGCCTTTGTGATTGATAGCGGTTGGCTTGTGGTCAAACGCAGCACGTGAAGCAACCGGCTGAGCGCCAGCATTAGTCACATTGCTATTGCTGGGTAAGCAAGCGTTCAGAATCCTGTAGCATTAGTGAGTTGCTTCAGACTGCGCATCCGTCCACTACTGCAAGTTAGACATAGTGACTGTGGCAGACCTGCTTTTTGGAACAAGGCTCTATTTTTAGATGGAACAGCAGAGATCCACGTATCAGCGTGGGGCCTGCCATTTCTGAGTGGGAAAAGGCAAAAAGTTGCAGAACGTGTAAACCTGAAGGGGAAACGTGTTCACCCTGCTCTTTTGATGGAGGGAGTTCCCACCTCGTGTGCGGGTATCTTCTGTGTGTGTGTGTGTGCGTGTGCGTGCGTGCGTGCGTGCGTGCGTGGGTGTGTGTGTGTGTGTGTTGTGCGTGCGTGCGTGGGCGTGCGTGCGCGTGCGCGTGCGCCTGTGCGTGTGCGTGTGCGTGTGTGCGTGTGCGTGCGTGTGTGTGTGTGTGTGGGTTCGTGCGTGCGTGTGGGTGTGGGTGTGTGGGTGTGTGGGTGTGTGGGTGTGTGGGTGTGTGGGTGTGTGGGTGTGTGGGTGTGTGGGTGTGTGGGTGTGTGTGTGTGGGTGTGGGTGTGTGGGTGTGTGGGTGTGTGGGTGTGTGGGTGTGTGGGTGTGTGGGTGTGTGTGTGTGTGTGTGTGTGTGTGTGTGTGTGTGTGTGTGTGTGCGGAGTGGCAGAAAACCCTGCCACCACAACCGTTTTCTGTTGCAGCAGGGGGATCAGGCTTCCAGTGACTGACCTGATCCAACGAAGCTAGGTCACTGGAAGGGAAGTAGCTGAGGACGCTCAGCTACGTACCTGCTTCCCAACAAGGTCCCCTCTTTGCCCGCGGAAATCAAGCAGAAACTCATCGTACTCGAGACTCATCAGTTGTACTCGAGACTCATCAGTTGTACTCGAAAGATTAGCACTCTCCATCTGGAGTTTAAGTGTGTACACCCCATTCGTGGGGAATCCTCGGGTGTACCCATTGTGTGACCCCGGGCCGGCTCTGTCGGAAAATTTGACCTCAACGTGCGTATCATAGAACAGCGGAATTTCACATTTAACCAGGAACGAGGTTTCACTGAAGGGAAGAAAGCCGTCAGTTCATAGCGACGTCTCACCACAGTTGATAGCTGCCGATTTTCATTGCCTACCCTGACCATTGGTTGAACTTGTTGCTCGTATCACTGCGGTTGTCGATTGCTGACTTGTATTTGCTTTGCCTTGTACATTTCGCTCGACCATTGCAGTTGAGGGCCGCTAACTTGCATTTGCATTGATTTGAATGTTGTCGGGTCTGATTCTCTCAAGGTGGAAGTGTGCAAATTCCGATTCAGTTGCGTCACCATGTCTCGACGTGATGATCGTGATAGATCCAGGACTCGACGCAGACGTGATCGGAGTCCGTCCCCTCAAGCTCACAAAGCACGCCGACGTGAGCACAATGACAACCAGGTCTCGGAGAACATGGATTGGAACAACTTGGTTTCATGGCAACACAACTCCGGCTACAATGCTGCTAACAACTTTCCGATGGTGCCTACCAATTTTCAATCGACTCACAACCCCACACAGCAATTCCAATACCCGGCGATCAACTACATGATGCCGATCCCTCCTGATCCCACGCCATCCAAGTTCATGCCACCAATGATGCCACCACCGGTCACTACTTCCCAACCTACACCTTCACCTGGACCTCCTGCAGCTCTACCGGTTCGTCCTCAGAAAGCCTGGCTTACTCCCTCGCCTGACTGGACACCTGGAGACGGCATGTTTGATGTCAATCAACTCTACAACTTCAGCCTGCCCATGACTGTTGCCAACACTCCACATGGCAACCTTCGCGACATGTCAGGCATGGATATTAGGGACGTACGCCTGGTTCAGGTTATCCACGGGGGCCTCACCAACTGGCTACTCAGGCCGTTTGCACACGGCCGATTCGTGACGTGGGAAGGCTTTCGCACCCGCACTGAGGCCTTACTTTGGAGTACCTGCTCCAAATTACTACGAAGATCGCAGTCACTCAACCTGCTCACCCTGGAAAAGGACCTTGCCAACACGCTGGGTCTCAACATTGATGACTTCAATCAGCGCATCAAGGTCCACGACCATTTGGCCAACCTGGTACTTCAATTTCTTCAACAACATCACACCTCTCTCGCACCTGCCGCCCAGACCGATGACATGGTCAAGAAGTTCAATGATTTGAATCGTGCACATGAACTTCTCCAAGCTCAATATTCCGCATCACTTCGCGCATCGACCTCGCCCACGATGACAAACCAGAAAGATGATGCAGAGTTGGTTACACCGCCACCGGTCAACCACACACCATCCTCGTCACCTGCCAGCTCCCTTCCCACAGCCAGCGCGGCCGCCCTGGATGGCAAGTCGTTTGATAGCGTGGTGCAACCTCGGATCATGCAGTCTCTTCACGGAGTGTCGTCACCGCCGTCCAAACCGGCGGCGTCACAGTTGCTCACCATGCACAGCACGCCGGATGAAGTTGTCAAGTACTACACATGGACCAGTGACCAACCTCGCCTTTTCCTCAAGCAAGCACCCACAACAACCACTTTGGCATCGCTGGTTAAGTGGGCCAATCACCCGTCCCGGCTCAACGGCAACAAGTCGTTAGATTCTATGGCGACGCAGCTTCTTCAAGCCAGGCAACGCATGCCGAAGGGCGATGCGCCCACACTCGGTGCAATGGCAGCATCATGGGGTCTTGAACCCGGGTACCTTACCAAACTCACTGAGAAGGCATTGAGTCACCTCATCGTGACCGCTCGCCTGCTTTGTGGATGAGAAGGCATCATGACGACCTTCGTTCTCATATGAGCCCGGAGCGGCAACAATGTCACGGATGAGTCCAGGTGAAAACTCGTCCGTCAAGTGTTTGCGTTGCACATGATTGATCTTGTACTTGCTTGTTCTTGCATTGCCTCTTGTGTGATTGTCTGTGATGCTTGTATTCATGTCGCCGCCTTGTGGTAGATTTCGTTGGTTGCATCTCACCATGTTGGATGAACTTCGCCGCTGCGGAATCTATGATGATGTTGCACAATGGCAGTCGCTGGACGACCTTCTGCACTCGTTGACCATATTCTCGACGTGCTGGCATTACTGTTTCCCTGGACTACCACCACCGTCGATTCCAATTGAGGAGTACGAATCCATCACACAATTGCCGTGGCTGGGTCTCATCCTCGAGGTCTTAGTTGTGGTCCGGATAGCCCTCCAGATTCCGAATTGCGCTATGTCCAACTCTCAGCACACCGTGGCCAACAGGTACGAACTTCACAGATGTCGGTGCGCTGCCTATTTATTGATCAGTTTCTTACAACGTCTCATTTCACAGGATCACGGCTACTTCCCGCCGTTCTTCGAAGTCCTTCACTTCTACAAGACTTCTCTCTTGTGTGAAATCATGCACTCAACTTTCGCTGACACGCGACATCTACGCTCATTGCGGGCGCGATTTCCTGACCTCTACGACTTCATACATGATCCAGGTCATCACCAACAACCGTGCGTCTACATTCGACTTTCCCCATGGCACACACCATACTATGTTGGGGCGACTGATCAGGATGTTCTACGTCGTGAACACTCACGCAGTCGCAAAATTCTACAACTACTTCGTGGACGGCATGCCTTCTTTGAACCGGCGCTTCACTACTGGAAACGATCCAATACTTACTGGCTCTTCTGCGCTGTACCAGTGGAAATCAAACTTCCAGTTTCCTCGGTGTGGGTTCAAGAAAGCAAATGGCAATACCTGCTACGCCCGCATTTGAATGCGCCCTGGGTACACAGAATCTTGCGCAAGGTGGGCTTCCGGGAACATCTTGTTGATTTTCGACGCCACTCGTTGTCGTCTCCCACTTCCCTCGGCTTGCACAAGCGCTTTCGACGACGACTACATCCGGATCTCCAACGGCAACTGCGACCTGACACCCTGGATGACATTCAAGCCCACTACTCGATCCTCTATCAGCTGGGATCGAACACAGGAGCGTCGTTCCAAGTCATGCGTGACCTACTGTCAGCCGCTTTCCCTCCCACTCAGCTGTACTACTTATTGCGGCTCGCAGTATTTGTCAACGAGCCCTTCCGCTCCAAGGCCCAGAAGCTCCTCGCCCAGGTACTGCGCAAACGACGGCTACAACCACCCACCACTTTAACACAGCTACTTTTGCCGCCCCTGCATGTCCAGAATTGGAAAGCTCTACTGGGCACATGGTTACAAAGCTGGATTGCTTCTCATCGGGATCTGTTCCCTTCTCTTTTTATTCCAAAGATCCGGGTTGTGGAAACTCGCAGCGCCACATTGGGCGACAAGATATACAACTATCGCACATGGCAGCGCAAATGGGCGCCTGACACATCCTTTCCGTGTCGCTGTTTGGACATCGATGATAGCCATCTACACCGTGCACATGGTCACGCAGTAATGGTGGATGAGTTTTCTCGCATCAATGCGGACATTAACATTGAAATCATGACCGCCTCAATGAAGGATCAGTTTTTCGGTGATGTCGACTTATTGCATCAACGTTTCACCACACAACTTCGCAAACTTGCTCGCCGCTGGCATGTACATGGTTCCGGTCTGCTTTCAGATCTACAGCCAGTTGTGTCTCAGTTAATGGATACTCATCGGATCAACCTTCAAGATCGGGCTTATTGGTCATCGACATCGTTGCAACGCACTGTGGCTTCTTTGTCTTCGTGGGTAGTCATCCCGGCGGATCATTTCCCCTCCCGCGCACATGTGATGTGCCCGTCCCTGTTTGCCATATTGATGCGGAAGACATTCTGCGCGGGGGATGTCTTCTCACTTTGCCGCGAATCCGCAGCATCCTTTCGCTCTGAAGTGGTAACCACGGTACCTTCTCTCCTACGTCAACGATATGCATG